CTTCCCCAAGGCCTGGGGAAAGAGTCTGTGTTGGGACCACTGACCTCAGAGGCTCCTGTAGGATTTTGGGGCCCAGGGCACCATGCCCTAGGTTGTGACAGCACCCTTTCCCCAGCTGGCCTGGCTTACTCAAACCTGGTGTATGATTGGGTGAAGGCAGCCGTCCTATTCGGTGTGGTCAACACAGTGGCACGCCTCGACCACCTGGACCCTCCCCAGCCTCCCAAGTGCATCACAGCACTCTACGTCTTCGCAGAAACGTGAGTGCCAGGCCAGGGACATGCCTTTGGATCCCCACTTTCCCCCCTCCCATCACATTCTGGGAGCTTGGACCCTGGCAGATTCCCACCTGTCTGCACTCCCTCCACAGGCACTTTGACCGTGGTATCAACGACTGGCTTTGCAAGTGAGTTGGGCAAGAGTTGGAGGTGGGGGTGGGAATGGTCACATCTATCCTGCCAGGAACCTGAGCAGGGCATTGCTGAGATAGATGCACTTTTGTAAAGATCACCTCTAGTCCAGAGGAAGCAAGGAGGGCTGTGAGACATTCATTGCCCAAGTTAAAAGTAAAAGACTTAGGGTCTTGGACTTGGGAGGGGGCCATAGAGGTGGAGAGAAGTGGTTGGAGTCGAGATAGACTCAGCAGGCAGCATGGACAAGGTTTGTCCTTGGACTAGAGGGATCACTAACAAGAGGAAGATGACTCAGAGGTTCCTATCTGCAGTCTGGAAGGGTAGGGGTGTGGTTTCCAGAGATAGGTTTTAGAAATATCTAATTTGAGATCTAGGAAACATAGAGGTTCAAGGAGGTGGTTGGGGTAGAGGTTCTGCAATTCAAAGAAGTCTGCGGGGCTCATGGAATACTAAGCATCATGAGTGTGTGAGGAGTCTTTAGGCCATGGGAGCAGAGGAGTCCTAAAGGTTGAGAGTAGAGTGAGAAGAGAGAGGCCTGGAAGGATCCTGACTGGGGCAAAAGGAGGAGCCAGTGGAAGGGATTGAAAGTGGTCAGAGGAGCAGTAGAAAAATCCAGACACCTGGACACCTTGGAAACCAAAGACCATCTCCTAGGTATTGTGGGGGCAGCTGGGTCAGATGTTGCTGAGGGTCAAGGAATCTGGAGGCTGAGCATTAGTGTTGGTGATATGGAAGTTTCAGCCTTTCGCTGGAAAGGCAGGGACAGATGAATGAAAGGAAACTGAGGAATTAAAAAGGAGTATGTGGACAACTCCTGGGAGAAGCTTGGTGACAGGAAGAGGGACAGAGGAGTGGCTGAAGGGAGAAGTGGGATGTTTTAAGGATGAGAGATCATGAGACATGCTTGGGTACTAAGGGGAATTATTCAAGAAGTTGGTAATGCAGGACAGATTGGTGGAGTGAAGTCCTGAGGAGGAAGGAGGCAATGGGATTCAGTGCCAGGTGGAGATTTGGCTTCAGGGAGAGAAGCCAGTGTAGGTGCAGAAGGGTGGCATGTGTGGAAGGATGAAGGATTCCATCTGAAGGCTTCTGCTTTCTCCATGAAGCAGGAGGCAAGGTCATCAGCTGAGAGACACAGGTTGGGAGGCATGGAAGGAGGCAGTATCTGTGCCTCCTCTCCTCCCTGTTCTGCCTGGATCCACTACCGCACCACTCAGGAACAAAGGAGAGATAAGGGTGGAGTGGCCATTGCAGAGCATGGGAAAAGCTGACTAGAGAAACTTTGGCATTGAGAACTCACGTAGGATTGTGGGTAGTGAATTTATGGACTCCAGTATGTGAAGGTATGAGATTTTCCCCCTCAGGGCTTAGCTGCTTGGGGCAGATGAGGAGGAAGAAGTAAGGGATAAGGATTTTTAGATTATTTATAATGATGACTCATGGGGCTCATGACTTAATAATCCTATTAAGGAAGGTGATGAAGATAGGAGGAGTCACAAGATGACAGAGGAGTCATTGAGGTTGAATTGCTGGACCTGAGAAGCCAAAAGATCAGGAGAGGCTGGGAGAAGAATGAGAATTAGAAAAGAGTGAAGTTGCTAGTGATGACAAAGTGAGGGGTATGGCCGTGGAAGTGTGGCCATGGGTGGCTGAGGTGGAGTGAGGTGGTCAGGGAACAGGAAGGCCAGTCAGTCAATGGATCTTCCACTGAATTCATCTAACAAATATTTATTGAGTACCTACTATGTGCCAGGCATTGTTCTAGGCACTGGGGATACAGCAGTGAACATGGCAAAGACCCTGAACTCATGGAGCTTACAGTCTAGTGGGGAGAAACAGACCATAAACAGGTAATAAAACACATAAATAATGTTAAAGAGTAGTAGTGATGTGAAAAAAATAAAACGATGTAATGGGATACAGCCTAGCTGCAGGGTAAATACTTCTTTCAGCTAAAGACCCCAGGTGGGTCTGGGCAGGCCTCAGGGAGTGCTCCTTGAATTGAGACTTGAGTAATGAGGAGATCTAGGAAAGAGAATTCCAGGTAGAAGGAACAAGTGCAAAGACCTTGAGGCAGGAGCCAGCTGTGTGTGTATGAGACAGAAAGACCAGTAAGTCCGGAGCACAGGAAATGAGTGTGATGAGGTCAGGGAGCTAGACTAGGTGAGACCTTCTAGCTATACTGAGAGTGTTGAGTTTATTCTAATTGCAATGGGAAGCTACTGGAGGGTTTAATCACAGAAATGACATTATCTGTATACTATTAAAAGATGCCTCTGGGTACTGTGTGGAGAAGGGACTAAAGGGCAGGGACAAAGGCAGAAGCAAGGTGACCACTTACGAGGCTCTTGCAATAGTCTTTGTGAAAGTGATGGATGCCTGGCCTGGACTAGGGTAGTGGTAGTGGAAGTGGTGAGCAATGGTCAGGACTGAAAGGAGCCAATTGGATTTGTTGAATCAGATGTGGGTGGTGAAGGAAATTGAGAATCCAAGATGGTGCCAAGGCTTCTGGCCTGAGCGACTGAATGGATGGTGGTGTCATTAACTGAGATGGGGGTGAAACAGGTTTGGGCAGGGATAGGGAAATCAGTCATTTGAGTAGAGATATCTAGTAGCAGTTAGATATACTGCTGGACACAGATTTGAGGTCATTGGCATAGAGACAGTATTTAAAGTCTTAGGTCTGGATGAGATCACTTGGACAGTGAATGAACATCATAGAGAAAATATGAAGTCCACTTGCTGAGCCCCCACACTTTGAATTGGGCAGAGAAGGAGGAGTAGTCACCTGAGGGCAAGAATATTCAATGTACCCAGGGTGACAGGGTTGAGGAGGGCTGCCCTGTTGTGTATCTTCTGCCCATCTCATACCTGTCCTTTCCCATATTCCCATCGGCCCCTTCTCCTGCCTTTCCTGCAGGTACGTGTACGACCACATTGGAGGGGAGCACTCTGCAGTGATCCCAGAGCTGGGGGCCACAGTGGCCACCTTTGCCATTACTACTCTGTGGCTGGGGCCTTGTGAAATTGTCTACCTGTGGTCATTCCTTAACTGCTTTGGTCTCAACTTTGAACTTTGGGTGCAGAAGCTGGCACAGTGGGGGCCCCTAGCACGAATTGAGGTGAGCAAGGGAGGGCTGGGGCTGGGTTGGCTGGGTCACTGGAGCGGGCAGCACTGCTCCTCCCTAGAGTTGTCCAGCCACACTCGGCCCCCAGTCCAGAGCTGTCTTACCATCACTCTCCTGGTTGTTAGGGCAATGACTTGCCCTGTGGGTATCCTGCCTTTCATCTCTGGGCCAACTTTCTTGGCATGAACTATAGCCCAAACAAGGGCAACTGTGGGGTGTGGGGCACCAGGGCCTGCCTGTGTTAGTCAGGTCCTGCCTTCTCTCTGGACCTCAGTTTCCCCATTTTTAGCAGCGGTAGAGAGCTGGCCTGGGACTCCCAGAGACAGGTATATCCCTAGGGCCTGACCACCACATCCTCTTTCCTCTGGACCTCTTGCCTCACTGCCAACGCTTTTGTGGATGAGGCAGGCCTCCCTGTCGGAGCAGATGTCCCGCAGAGTCCGGGCCCTCTTTGGGGCCATGAACTTCTGGGCCATCATCATGTACAATCTGGTGAGCCTGAACAGCCTCGAGTTCACAGAGCTGGTGGCCCGGCGCCTGCTGCTCACAGGTGAGAGACAGGGATGGGGGATGGTGCATGTGTTAGGCATCGACCTTAAGGAACTGTGACCTGCTGAAATAGTCTTCCACCCCACCTCCCCCAAAAGATTAATCAGGGAGAGTCAGTAAAGTGGGGAGAGGGCTGGGAAGAGAGCAGTCACTGAGGATGGGGTGCTGCTCCAGGCATCGAACCCCTCTCCCCACCACAGGGTTCCCCCAGACCACATTGGCTGTCCTGTTTGTCACCTACTGTGGTATCCAGCTGGTGAAGGAACGTGAGCGAACCCTGGCGCTGGAGGAGGAGAAGCAGGACAAAGAGAAGCCAGAGTAGGTGGGAGGGGCAAGAGGGAAGGACTCTGCTCAGCTATGCCTGGGCCCCAGCCTCAGGCCAGGCCAGCTGGGGCCTGATGATAGAATAAAAGACTTTTCTACCACAGCATGGCGGTTTCCTGTCCCTTCCTCCAGTGGTCTCCAGGTTCCTTGTCCATACTGGATGAGGAGTTTCTGGGCCCCAGGGAGAGGGGTCAAACTCTTGGAGCACACAGACTTTGAAGGGCAAAGATCACTGACCTTGGCAACCCAACAGCTAAACACTGACACCCCAAGTCTTCAAACTGCCTGGTACAGACTCTTGAAGCACCTGATTCCAGACCCTGAGCTGCTAGCTTGGAAGGCACTTTATTCTTCTTAAAGAAGGAGACATATCCACGCTTAAGGTGTGCTAGGTGGGGACACTCCCCATGTGACAAATGAGGAGACTAGGTCCTATGGGGAAATTTACCCAGCACACACAGCTAGGCTGTGGCAGGGCCAGGACTAGGCCTGGGACAGCCCCTATAGTTGGCTCATGAACCAAGAAGGCCCAGTGGGGGATATGGAGACACTGGTGAGGCCTGGAAGTTCTCATCCCTTCCTGAAGGCAGCAGTTTCCTTTCCCGGCCAAGTGGCCACTTAGGCACCATGGCAGGATCCAAGTGGGCTCTGGCCTCTTCCAGACTACTCCCTTCAGCCCCCTCGAGGCCAGGCCTATGTGGCTGCAGAATGCGGGGGTATGTGTTTTGGGCACTCTGGGCTGGTCACATCTTGGTCAGGCGCAGCACGTTGAGACGCACAGGTAAGAAGGTGGCACCGGCTGCGTAGGCAATTTCCCGCAGGACTCCCTCCCACTTCTTTTCTTCTTCGTTGTACCTGGCGATGGGGGGAGGGTGGGAGTGGGGACAAGGAACAGGGACAGAAAGCTTGGTCAGTCAGGTCCAGAATGAGATCCAGCAGGGAGGGGTGCCTGGGTGCACCTATCCCAAGAAGGTCTGCCCTTGGAGAATCCCATGCCCAAGGCCTATCCCCAAAGAACACCCACCTCACACTCCAGGAAGGCCCACCCTCCCTAAGAAAGGCCACCTCTCAAGAATTCCCACACTCCTCCAAGCCAACCTCCCTCCGGGAAGGTCTATATTCCCCCGACCCTGCATTCCTTCCTCTTGAGAATTTGAATTCTTGACACTCCAAGATGTACCCCCAAGTCCCACTCTCCCAGAAGCACTGCTTCCTAAGGCTGCCCACAGCAGTGGGGATAGAGGTTCAGGGGGCACCCCAGCTGGCCAAAACCTCTTCTCCCAGCCCCCATGAAGGACCAGCCATGAAAAGCAACAGCTCTAAGAAGCTGGGGTCTAGCTACTTCCCAACCCTGTTCTCAGTCTCCCCTCCAGACCCAGCTTCCAGGAGGGAGGGAAGAGGAAAGTCCTGGCTGCCTTTCCAGGAGGACCCCTTTTCTACCTGGGCCCAGTTTCTGTGGGTCTGTGCCCTAAGCTTGGGATCAGTGTCAGTGAATGTTGCTGTGCCAAATTTGCCACACGTGTGCAAACCCACACTTTCCAGTCCGACTAGAGAGAAACAGGGCCAAGTGGCAGGAGCTTGCTGTTCCTTCCTCTCAGGGCCACTGGAGGAGGGATCAGCTTCAACCCCAGATAAGCTTGCCAAGTGCCTGGTGCCCAGATATGGTGCCTGGCTTGTGGGCATCTGCCTTGCTCACACTTCCCCTCTTACCTCCTTGGGGCTGAGCTCACCTCCAGACATCGTTGAGCTCTGTAGGGATCAGTTCGCCAGACTCAGTCTCCAGCGTGGCAAAGCCGCCAATGGCATAGAGGGTGCCCACCAGGCTGACGAGGCTGAGGGAGCTGCGCTCCTGTGGGAAGGGCTCAAAGGGTGCCCACCTGGGGAAGGGGGATGAGAAAGTGCATCACCCAGGGTGCCTTGGGTGATCCCAAGCCTGGTGACTTCTGTACTGCCCTAGTGCCCACAGTTCCGCTGCACCCTTCTGAAATTGGAATCCTAGGCTCCCATACTCCCAGCACAGCCCTGTTTTCCAGCTTCCCAGGAATCCTTTCCTACTGTCCCTCCCTGGGTCTTACAGCATCCCAAACCCATTCCCCTCCCCTCTCCCTCCAGTCTTCATTCCTTCCCTATTCTCTTGCCCCTCCTCTTTCCCTTTGCTGTCTCCTTGTCATTCCACCCAACCTGCCCAGTGAAGTCTACTGTGGATGTCCCAGTGTCCCTCCTTCTCCCCTGAACTAACTCCTGCCCTCAACCCTGTCACTGGTGCTCCACCCTCTTCTTCCTTCACGGCCCAATTATTCTCAAGGTGTCTTCACTCCCCATAGCCACAATCTCCCCTTCCTCCTGCAGTTGAGCCTCATTCTCACCTCCAAAACAGCTCTCACTGAAGTCCCCAGACACTGTGGGGCTTTGAAATGCCCCACCCCCCCCAGCACATGTCACCCATCCAGCCACACCTTCTCAGACTCTTTCTTGGATAATGCATCTGGCCCTCTGGCCCTGAGGAGCTCTGGTAGCGAGGGGCCTAACACATTTGACTGCTAACCAGAAGGCTGACGGTTCAAACTTGCCAGCCACTCCTCAGAAAGAAGATGGGGCAATCTACTTCCATAGAGATACTGTCTCGGAAGCCCAAGGAGGGGTCACTATGAGTCAGGACTGACTCAACAGCAGTGAATTTTTTTTTGGTTCTCTGACCCTCAGGGCTTGGACCTCTGCTTTTCCCACTTACACCCTCTCTCCTGAGGGAGCTTCAAGTCCCCTTCAAGTGCTATCCACCCCAAGATCTCTCCCTCTAGTTCAGCCCTCCCTCCTAGGCTGCAGACCTCTCTGCCCTGGTGGGCTCCTCCTGGACAACCCCTCCCCCCACCAGCACCTAAATTCTATATGTCCTAGCGGGACCTTCACTTTTCCTAATCCCAGTGGTTCTCCAATAAATGGCTTCACCGTCCCTACTCCCTTACTTCTCCCTCTCACTCATGCCCAACACTAATCACCAATTCTATTTCATCTTCCTCTTAAACTTTTACTACCCAGTGTAGTGCATGGAGAACACATCAGCATCACCTAGGAGCGTTGTTAGAAATACAGATTCTTAGGCCCCACCTGCAATCTGCTCAATCAGAATCTGCATTTTAACAAGACCCCCAGGAGACTCAAGTACACATTACAGTATGAGAAGCCCTGGTCTCAGTCTTTCCCCTCTGCCTTATCCCCGCTGTGCACCCAACTCCACACCACTATCACCTTTTGCTACAGCCTGGCCTCTCTGCCTCCTAGGATGTACCTAATCTGTTCTCTAAATTAGCTGGCAGCAGGGTCTTAGTAATACCCAGATGGGAGCTTAAAACCCTTCACAGGCATTTCATTTCCTTCAGGATAGTCCCTCAGCCCTGCTTGTCACCTCTCCATCCCCAGTACCTACCAATCCCATCTCCTGTCATCTGTCGCACTCCATCCAACTTGAGTAATGGACTCTCCTCCAAAGGCCCCTGTCTTTTTTCTCCTAACTGCTTTGGCACTAATTTTTCTTTGCCTGGGGCATCCTCCAACTCACCCTCAACCCTTGTGCTGGCTGAGCCCCCCTGGTATTCTCTTTCCTGGCCGCCTGGGGCAGGGCACCTTCTGTCTTGTTCACCACTATATCCTTAGCACAAGGCCTATGCCAAGGTGTGGTCCCTGAATGAGGAACCTAGTATCCCCTTCCCTACCCCTGGGAGCACCCTCCTTCAGACCATGACCCTTGCCCCATGTTTAGGGGGAAGCCTTTTCCCCACCTCATTGCAGGTCAAAGGAGAGGGACTGCTGTGGTGATGTCCAAGCTCAAGAGCTGAGAACCAAGATGGGGGCTATGGCTCCCACCTGGACAGACACAGAGAGGGCAGACACAGGCCCAAAGCCTCACAGCACAGGAGATTGTAATGGGGCTCTTGTCCTGCCTAGCTTGTCCTGCCTCTCTGGGGTGGTGAGTGGGGCAGTGGCCATACTTGTTGTCTGTGATGCTGTACACCTCAGCAGAACTGGTCAGCCCAGTGTCAGTGACCCCAGCAGCCACAAAAATGCGACCATCATGGACTGTGGCCCCGAAGAGTGAGCGGGCAGTCTGCATGGGTGCCAGCTCCTTCCACTCAAACTTCTTGGGGTCATAGACGCACATCTTGTTTAGGCACTTCCTGTGGGAAGGAAGGATGATGGCAGTGAGTGAATGGAAGCCACAGCAGAACCACCACTCTCTCCGCCCAGTACTCCCTACCCCCTCCATGCAGTGCAGCCAGTCAGGCCCTGACAATCCTGGGGAGATTCTGTTTCTGCTCTAACCTCCAATCCTGCTGCCATGACCTCACTCCAAACCCAAACCTCACCTGTCACTGCCTTTGCCGCCAATGACGTAGACAAGGTCCATATAAGAGAGTACTGTGTGTCCGTACACAGCATAAGGCAGTGGATCCGATTCGCCCCATTTAAATGACCTGGAGAAGATAGGGGAGGATGGAGTTGGGGTGAGCATTCAGCTCTGGCCCTGCGCATGCTCAGATCATAATCTCAGAACCTGTCTCTCCATCTACCTATCCAAGACATATTCCAAGTGCATCCAATACATTACAGAAAGTCCCCAGACCTCTCAGTTCCTCCATCCCACCCCACCACCCAGGGCCAAGGCTGTGCGTGTACCCCAACCCCTGGACTCTAGCTTCTCAACTCCCACCCCATTGTCTAGGAACAGTCCCTGGCCTCTAGGCTCCAGCCAGCATCTGCCTCCCCACCCCCAGGGCCCAGCCCCGCTCCCAGCCTGCTCCCTGACTGGGTCCCCAGCCCACCCCACCCATGCTCACAGCCTGTCGTAGCACATGACTGAGTCCAGGCTGAGCTCGCCATCCTTTAGCTCTCGACCGCCGACTACGTAGATGGAGTTGAGAGCCTCTCCCAGACCGAAGAGGCAGCGCGGTGAGGGAAGCGGTGGCATCCCCAGCCACTCTGAGTCCAAGTGGTCAAACTGTGGGCCAGGCCAGGTGTCCAATCAGCTACTGCTCCCACCACTCCAGTCCCAGTCCAGCCCCACCAGCCACCTCAGGTCACAGAGGAGTCCTGGACTCCAAGGAGGGCTAGCACAACCTAGAGGTGTTCCCCCCACCCTGGCCCACTAGACAGTGCCCCTACCCCTCCAGAGTAAGAGCAGGTGAGGCTTCCCAATCTATGCAATGAGGTAGGTACCTAGAGACCACCATTATAACATCACGTGGAGCTGTGGAGGCAGCTCTGGGGCCCAGCTGTAGGCTTAACCCTGGCAATGAGCTGCCCCTCACCCCTCTAACACCTGCTCAGGCCTCATCAACCACACCACTCACCAGACTTCTCACTGCTAACTCACACCATCCCCTCCATACTTGCCACCAGACACACCACCATCCTCTCCATGACTCCAAATTCTACCCAATGACAAGGCTCAAACTGGTCTCCAGGAAACTGCCCCTGGCTCTAAGACCCCACAGTCACACCCCAATTTAAACTGACCACTCTACTGGCCCTTAGTTTCCCCATCTGTACAAGGGCAGAACTAAACAGGATGGTCCCTTTGAGACGGTCTGTGTTCTAGGCTCCAGTTCTGGTTCTCATGGGGGACCCCACCCATGACTCCTGCACTTGCCCTGCTCCCGCTCTTCACTCTGTCTGACCCTAACCCATGTGCATGGCCAGGGCATCCAACCAGACCATCCTGGAGCTAACTTTCTCCTGCAACTAAGACACCAAAATCGTGCAGCTCTTTGTCAGCTGCTCTTGACTCCCCCCAATCTTCAGGCAAGTAGCTGTCAGTCAACTTCCCTAGTCTAGGTCTTATCCTAGACCCAGTGACATCCCTGACAAACAGACACAGTCCTCTCCTGGCTGCCCCCAGTACCCAGACCCTGGCACTGGCTGTCTCCTTTCTGGGCTGCTGGGCACCTGCAGGAAGTAGGCGCTCATTGGGTTCTCTTTGTTGTCCTCGTTGTAGAAGAGACCCCCGGCCACGAAGATCTGGTTCTCCTTGGTGACGAGGCTGACATGGTTCTTGGGGATCTGGGTGGAGAGGGAGGCACAGTAGCATTCATTGGCAGCGGGGTCATAGGCCACGGCCCCCTCCTCGCTAATCATGAAGATGAGGTCCTGCAGGAACATGCCAAAGCGCAGGGTGTCATTGAGGATCCCAGGTAGGACACGTTCATCCTCCTCTTGGTCCTCCTTCTGGGCCTCGATCTTCGCTGTGCCCTTGTCAGTTGTCTTGGTTCCGGCGGCGTCCTTTTCTTTCTTTTTCTTGCGCAACACGGTAATGCGGCCCTCGTGCGCATCCTTCACCATCTGTACCTTGCGCAGCAGCTCCGGCTGGGCGCGCACAAGCGGGTGGCGCTCCACGCGGCTCTCCAGGAAGGAGCGCGGCAGCAGGCGGAAGCGCACACTCTCGAAGACTGTGGGCAGCGCGCGCTGGCGCTCCGCCTGCGCCTCTTTGTCGCCGCTGCCTGCCCACCGCATCACCGCCTCGAACACCGCCTCCTCCTTCTCCACGTTGAGGCCGTCGCTGGAAATGATGGCAATGAGCTCGTCTGCTGAGAGCCCAAGGAAATCGGCATCGCGTGCCACAAGGGTGAAATGCGCACAGATGAAGTCGCGGGCAGCCACGGCGAGACGCGCGCAGTCGAGCAGGAGGCCGAGGCGGAAGACGGCTAGGCAGTTGGCGAGACACAGGCGCTTCTGCAGGAAAGACACGCAGATAGTGAAGATGGACGGGATCTGGAAGCGGTGAGCCGCGGCGAACAACTCTTGCACACTCGCTTCATCCAGGGCGATCTCCGACGTGTACAGGTAGTGCAGCACCTGGGCCACCACGTCAGGGGACACCTCTTCCAGGCGCAGCTCACCCGCGGTGTCTGGCTCCGCCAGGAAGCGCGCCCGGAAGTAGGGGCTGCAGGCGGCCAGGACCAGGCGGTGGCATGGGAACTCGCGCTCGCCTGCCCGCACCACACAGTCCAGGAACTTCCCGTGGTCCAACATATCTTTGAGTCCGTCCTGCAGGAGTGTCTGCTGGTACAAGCGCTGTTCCTCCATCTGTTCCAAGCCCAGCGCCATGGTGGGTAGCCTAGGGTGTGACGACCGGGACGTGAGATTTCGATCGGTGCTCCCCTGCCCTCCTTCTGGGGCACACTCGGACAGCGCAGCTGTCTTCGCCCAGCTATATATAGAGGTGGCCCAGGCCCTGTAAGGAGAGTAGCCTGGCCTCCTGCGGTGACGTGGAGGGGACAGCTGGGCAGAGGCTCTCTCCTCTAGCAGCCACGACTCAGCCCCAAGGGCTCATGGGACGGGGTGGAGGAGTGGAGGGGTGTCTGGAGCCTCCCCACAAAGATGAGACCCTCTCTGCCTCATTTCTAAACGAAGCACAGCGAGGCCTTGACTCTGGATTCCTTAATCAGACGATGCCCCTGGATGGGCAAGCTCTGACCTTCAGCCAGGGAGGGGGAAGCCTTGGGGTCCCTTCCACAGTCTCTCTTTTTTCATGCCTTTCTGACTTTTCTGTCCTGGTGTCTCTTCCTTTCTCTCTAGTTTATCCCACTCCAGCCACCCCTGGATGCTGCTGTGAACTTGGCCATGGCCTTCACCCTATGGAGGCCTGCCTGATTGTCCCACCTTTAAAACGGAAGTATTTTCTGCTCATGGTCTAAGCCCCACCTTGGGCTGCAAGAAAGTAAGAAGGTATCTTAGGTAAACCAGGTCACCACTTTCCTATGTGGTCTGGGGCAGGTCAGGTCTCTCTGTTGAGCCTCAATTTCCCCTCATACACAATAAGGAGGTGGGCAGTTAAGTTGTAAGGGCCCCAGTTCAGCTCTGCTGAGGGCCAGAAGCTCTGAGTTCTGTGTTTCTGGAAGTACACTGTTCTAGGGTTTTAACATTCTAAGGTGTTGGACATGCTAGAAAATTAATTTTCTAGGATTCTAATACTCTAAGTGTGTAAAGGTGCAGAGTTTTAACATTCTAGGAGAGTGATATTCTGGATTGTAATGTTCAAAAAGTAACATTAGTAAGACTTTAATATTTAATAATAATTTAATATTCCCAGATTTTAGTGTCTGTACTCATTGTTCTTGGTTACACCGGGCATGACTTGAGCCTACTTGGGGAAGGGCCAGTACAGAGAAGTTGACACAGATCTATTTGGCTTCATGGCTCCTGCACCTGTCTGTTGTCTGAGGGGTCCACGTTGAGACCCTGGACAGCCAGTCCCAGTGCCCACCCTTCCCTGGACTCCTGATCCCCCATCCCCACCACCACAGACACAGCAACCTCAGCAACCAAGATTAACTCATTCCCTAAGTGCCAGAGGCTACAGCTGTGGGTTAAATTTAGCCCTCAGGGCACTGGAGTGAACTGTTGTGGGACACTCCCCCATCATTCCTCTGAGTCACTTGTTTATAACCCCAGGCTTGGAGGGATGAGACTTGGGGGAGAATATAGGGCTGGACAAGACTGAGTCACCTCCCCTTTTGTGATCTCAGTGATGTCATTGCCTCTCCCTCCCTAGCAGGTTCTTCAACCATCTCTAGCTCACCCCAGCATTCAACCAAGTCTGCCCACATCCCAAAACCATGAGATCCCTCCCTACCTTGCTATACCCTATAAATTAATCAAAATGTCTATTTATCACATTCTCATTTTACAAAGACCAGGACAGAGATACTGACTGAACAATTGACTTAGATTTATCAAATGACTCAATTGAGTATTTTTAGAACATGATGAATCCCATAGTGCTCACTCCCTACCAGGCATGCCACTAGAATATTTATATATTGCTCATTCATTCATTGAGAACCTACTGTGCACTGTTCTAAATGCTGAGTATTCAGCAGTGAACAAATCAGACAGGAATTCCTGACTTCATGGAGCTTACATTCTGGGGAAAGGGAGGAGACAACAACAAATAAATAGTTGTATAGGATGTCAGACGATAACTACTATGGAGACAGGGAAGGGGACACAGAAAGTGACAGGTAAAGGTGGTAACAGTTTTAAATGAAATAGTCAAGATGGACTCACTGAGAAGGTCATGTTTAAGCAGATTCAAGTCATGGGAGAGAGGGATTCCAGGCCGGGGGAACAGCATGAGCAAAGGCCCTGAGGCAGGAGAGTACCTGGCATGTTCTAGGAACTGCAAGGAGCCCTGTGGGCTGCAGCAGTGAATGATGAAATAAGCAGGAGAAAATGAGGGCAAAGAAGTGAGGGTGGGGAATCATGTAAGGCCATATGGGCCAGTTTAAGGACTTTGGTTTCTCCCTTGAGTGAAATGGGGAGCGGTGGTTTGTTTGCTTTAACTTTTTATTATGGAAAATTGAAACATCTACAGAAGTAGAGAGAATAGTATGACGACCTTTGTTGTACATACCATCTGCTTCAGCAGATACCAAGTCATCAAGTCATGGCACATCTTATTTCTCCTCTACCCCCACCCACTCTATTAATCATCCAGGGGAGATGCGCAGATACTGGATGTGGGTGTAAGAGAAAGAGAGGTGATTCCAAGTCTTTTACTGAATCAAAGGGAAGATGTCATCTCATTTCATCCTTTTAATTTTCACTCAGTCTTCACACCAAAAATTATGATAGGTGTTGTATTTGCCATTTTATAGAAAAGACAACTGAAATTGAGAAGGTGGCAAATAGAAATAAGTCTAAACATTATTTTTTAAAAAAACAAAGACAGCTTTGTTGTTTTTGTTAGGTGCTGTCAAGTCCTCTCTGACTCATAGCAACCTTATATATAATAGAATAAAGTATAGCTCGGTCCTGTGCCATCTTCACAGCAGTAGGTATGCTCAAGCCCATTAGTGCAGTCACTGTGTTAGTCCATCTCATTGAGGAGGGATTGACTCCCTCAGTGACTCCCGCTTTTTTGCTGCCCCTCCACTTTACCAAGCATGACACCTTTCTCCAGCGATTGGTCCATCCTGATGATGTCTCCAAAGTAAGTGAGACAAAGTTTCACCATTCTTGCTTCTAAGGAGAATTCTAGTTGTATTTCTTTTAAGACTGATTTGTTGATTCTTCTAACAGTCCACAGAATATTTGGTTTTCATGAGCACCACAATTCAAATGTGTCACGTATTCCTCTCCCTGTCCTGTTACCCCCCTTCATCTGAGACAATCACTGATCTGCCTCCTATCACTATAATTTGTTTGCATTTTCTACTGTTTTATATAAGCAGAATCATATAATAATACTCTTTTTCTTTGGGGGGTTGGAGTCTGGTTTCTCTCACTCAGCATATATTTAAGCTTCATCCAGATCATCTACTCATGTTTATACCTGATAGTTTCTCCCTTCATTTGGGATCTTATCACATGGAAGGGGTCATTTAAGAGAAATATCATATGAAATTTTAGTGACAACTTATACTCAACTTGCCAGGCTCAGGGAGCATCTTGTTGATGTGCCAAGAAACCCAACCAATTCTGCATTTCAAGTCCCACATGAGCAGGGTCCACTCTGGTGCCCATCATCAGAGATGTAGGTTCTGGGCTATCACTTGACCATTTGAGCATTTATTTGAGTAGCCCTACTATATGTCTAGGAGCTCTGGTAGCATAGTGGCTAAAAGCACTTGACTGCTAACCAGAAGGCTGGTGGTTCAAACCCACCAGCCACTCCTCGGAAGGAAGGTTGGGCAATCCTACTTCCGTAGTGATATTGCCTCGGAAACCCAAGGAGGGGTCGCTATGAGTTGGGGCCAACTCAACGGCACATAACAACAACAACAACTATATGTCTGTATGTCATACTTAGAGGCCTCCTACACCTCCCAATGGCCTTTTTGTATTTGGGGGCAATTCCCATATCAGTAGTCCCATTTCCCCAAGGTAGAAAACAGAACTTGTGTCCCCTGCTGGGGATACAGACATATGACTGAGCTCTACCAGTACCATGTACTCTACCATGTACTCATCCCAGACCTCAGTGCAGAAAAGGAAGCAAGAGCATGCACAATCCATGTTTTGGTGAGTCTGACTGAGGGACGGCACTGTTAGAACTCCTGGAGTCCACTCCTCACTGTCCACTGTATGACCTCCTTGGATTGAACGGAAGTCCCTCTGACATCACCAGGAAAGCTCAGCACCACCAGTAAAGGGCACTGATCAGGAGCCCTGCTAACAGTAAGTGGCCAGGGAAAGTGTTCTTCTCCATGAGGTTTGAGACTGTACGCCTCCACTAAAAGACATTGGGTTTCCTGGCCTGGCCTGGTAACCCACTCAGGTAGGATCGTTAGTGACCAAAGTAAACAGATGAAAATAACATTGCAAAGACTCTGAAAATTAAACTGCCATTGGAACTACAGCCCACAATATTAGGCTGCATGATAAACCTCATCGGGGGGACTGCTTGCTAAAATGAAAGATTTAAAGTCCCGTAACATAATGGACAGAATATCTAGGGTGAAATAAAAAATGACTCATTAAGAACCAATAAAATCACAACTTGAATGAGGGAAGACAACCAACCGATGCCAGCACCAAGATTAATCAGATGTTGGAATTATCCAATAAGGATTTTAAAGAAGCTGCTATAAAAAATGTTTCAACAATCAGTTACAGATTCTCTTGAAACCAATAGAAAGTCTCAGCAAATAAATAGAAGTTATAAAAACTAAACAAATGGAAAGAATAGAACTGAAAACTACAGTACAATTAAAAACTCACTGGCTGGCTACAGTAGAGTGGAGATGACAGAATAGAATCAATGAACCTGAGGACAAATCAACAAAATTTCCTCAGTGTAAACAACAGAGAGAAAAATAGACTGCAGAGGGGGAAAAAAAACACCTCAGGAATCCACAGGCTAACAATAGATCAAATATTTGTATCGTTGAAGTGCCAGAAATAGAGATGAAAGAGAATGGGCCCAAAGAATAATTGAAGAAATAATGGCTAAGAACTTCACAAATTTGATGAAAGACCTACAGATTCATGAAGTTGAGTGAGCTCCAAACAGTACAAAACCAAAGAAATCGATGCCAAGGCAAAGCATAATTAAACTTCTGAAAACCTTAGGCAGTATTTTTAAAAAAAATAATAAATAAATCTTTAAAACAGCCAGCAAAGAAGAACGCAAAGAAGAACGAAGAAAACCAAAGATTAATGGAAACAATTGGTCAAACAATTGGTACACCATGCG